CAAAACGTACCGGATCATTCGAAAAGAGCGAGGCGGGAAATCCAAATGTAACCATTAGTCTGATTCAAAAATACAATGCTCCAAATGATCCACATTAGCCAAAGAAGAAGAAGAAGGAAACTAACCCGTTCGCAGTCTGAGATAAAACCTGTGAAATCAAAAACCAAGAGAAATGAGTCATGGAACAGAGAAACACACATCGGAATGAGTAATCTTACTTTGGTAGCAGTCGCCGGCCTTTTCGAAATACAAACACAAACACGAGCAGAATCAATGAGTGAGCGAAACAAATATTCAAAAATCAAAAATACTGAAACGGAATGTTCGTAGAGAAGAGCGAAAAAGGCTTTGAAACCTTTCTCTTTTTCTCTTTCCTTTTTATTTCAGTAAATACTAAATCTATTTCAGTAATAATAATCAAAAGGATTTTTTATGAATGTTAAAGATGTCTTCTACCTTGAATCAGTGATTAGAAGTTAAATTATTCGGTTTTTTTCTTATACTGTAATGTAAAATTAGAAACTTAGAAACTCGTCGTTCATAATGTAAAAATGTTGGACTATAAGTAGAATTATACATGATCGTAGATATTTGAATGAATTTCAGCTTTTATGTGAATTTTATTAAGATTACAATATCTCTTGTGAAACCCATTACCACCTCTTTCTCAAAAAACCCATTACCATTGTGGTTAATGAATTGGGTTTAATGAGATCTCCTATTATTTGGTTCATAAGTTTTTACATGTGTTTTGGGACTTTTATTTTAAATTATTTGGTTTGGGTTGGACTGCTTGTAATCATTTTTATTTTATTTCCCCAGCAATGTCAACAGAAACTTCTTATCAATAAACAAAAAAGAGATGATGATTTTTAAAAAAATTGTTTCATTTTTTCTTCTTTAAACTTAGTAGTGGATTCTTGGTACTACTTTAAATTTTGTTCTTTTGTTTTGTGTAAACATTTTAATAATATGTAAACAATTCTGCAGTTTTTTTATTAAGGGATCAAAAGCAAAATGTGATGCTGACTTAACTCGTCCGATTTTATTTCCGAAAGAAAACCAATTTGACAAGAAAACTTTGGGTTACAAGATTTTTAACAAAACTCTAATACCAAATTGGAGAATTTTGGTTCAACTTTGCTTTACAAGAACCAAACAACACAAGAACCAAACAATACAACTAGCCTCATGACAACATATATACGATTCCATGTATGTGATTTTTTTATTTTAATAAAACCTAGCTTTCAAGAGAGATAATTGAGTAATTCCCCGTCGGTGGATGGAGAAATAATAGTTGATTTAAAAGAAAAAGCGATTCCTCTTTTTTCTCTCTCTTTTTAATTTATCTTTTGTTACTTTCATTCAATCTTTTTATTACTCCATAAAGTAGTTGCTTTTGTTTTTGCTTATGATGAATATCCACTACTAATAAAGAACTTTCTTCTTTCGTTTATGATGTCCCCACGAATGGTGATTTTATCTTATTCCAAAGTAGCTATATTTCATTGATTCATCATCAACGACATTAAAATTATTACGTTTTAACAAAAAAAAATATCAAAGATATGTAATGAGATACAAATTTTTACATGATAAATAAACAAAAGCCGACCACTCTAAAATATATACTACTTTTAAACGTCTTTTTCTTAAGTAGCATTGCCTTTTTCTAATACCAAAAATACAACAATTTATGATACTACAAATATAATTAAGTGTTTATGTAAATTCTATTGACTATATACCCAAGGGACTTTATACAAACTAATAAGAAAATGTGAAATAAAGACGTGTACAGATTTTTATTGTAAAAAATGTAGACAAATAAGTGACATGAAAGTCTCCATTTATTACCGATACGGCGTACATAATTATATACTCACCTTCTGACCCTCATCACTAATAACCAACCATAAATACGCACTTAATGTAGTTAGAGACAGTATCAATTGATATCGAAAATAATATTAAGACCATCTCCAATCCATCTCTATTTTCATCTCTAAAATAAAGATTATAGTCAAATTTACTCTAATTCATCTCTATTTTCCAATATTTTTAAAACTTGACCGGCAACCGAATCGAAAAAACATTTGGGTCATGAGTCAATGTGATTCGACCGGATTCGACAGAGTTCAACCGGATTTAATGATATTTTAAAACTATTAGTATACTTAATCTTATACTATTCTAATACTAAACAAAACACTTTGACTAATTTTAAAAATTTAGAAAGCCTAAATAAAAATAAACATAAATATCATAAATATTAAGAATCAATTAATTCTAATAGTTTTGATGATTTAGACAAAGAATTTAGAAAATAAATTTATGATTTTTCTGATACGTATCTTATACTTTGATCTTATAGTGTTAGCTATTGAATATCAGAACAAAAGATTCAAAGAAAACTAGGAAAACAAATGTAATTAGAGAAACCGTAAACGTCATTACTCATACTTTTT